GGGCACAGGCCCCAGTTGTGAGCTCCATCCCCAGTAGGGGGCGTGCGGGAGGCAGTCCTCAATGATTCTCTCTCATCATGGATGTTTCCATCTCCCTCTCCCTTCCTAACATCAATAAAAACATATTTAAAAAAAAAAAAGAAAGTCAGGAATGGATGCCCAGGTCCTTGGGTGCACTGCAGGGAGTCACAGGAGCTGGGGGACACGGGAGCTGGGGGACATGGGAGCTGGGGGACACGGGAGCTGGGGGACACGGGAGCTGGGGGACATGGGAGCTGGGGGACACGGGAGCTGGGGGACACGGGAGCTGGGGGACATGGGAGCTGGGGGACACGGGAGCTGGGGGACATGGGAGCTGGGGGACATGGGAGCTGGGGGACATGGGAGTCCAGGGGGGGAAACAGGAACCTGGGGGACACGGGAGCTGGGGGACACAGGAGCTGGGGGACACGGGAGCTGGGGGACATGGGAGCTGGGGGACATGGGAGCTGGGGGACACGGGAGTCCAGGGGGGGAAACAGGAACCTGGGGGACACGGGAGCTGGGGGACACGGGAGCTGGGGGACATGGGAGCTGGGGGACATGGGAGCTGGGGGACACGGGAGTCCAGGGGGGGAAACAGGAACCTGGGGGACATGTCCATTGGCTCCTCACGGCCGAGCACAGCCCTGATGTCTCATCAGCGGCTCCGTCCCCTCCACACCCGGTCCCTCCACACCCCGGCCCCCGTCCTCGGCTGCCCTGGGCCTGTCCCCCGCCCTCGGTGCTCCCCGGAAAAGGCCAGCTCCTCTCCTCTTCTTGGACTCAGCGGCTCGGCCTCCTCCTCCTCCTCCTCCTCCTCCTCTGAGACCAGGATTCTCCGGAGCTGGGGCCCTGTTCTCGGTGGAGGTGGCGGCAGCTACCCCTCGGCGCACTCTCAGCTCTCCCCGTCTGTCCCCTCCCATCAGGCCCCTGACACCTCCTTGGCGTTTCCGAGGTCAGCTCACCCCCTAGTGGCCACACCTCTGTCCTCCCAGCCACAGGCTTCCCGGGACCTCTGCCCTCCCAGCCAGCGGGACGCTGGGGCTGCCTGGATGCCGGCCCAGGAGGCAGGGGCCCAGGGGGAGGGGCCCCAGGGGGTAGGGGGCTCAGGAGGGGAGGGGGCCCAGGAGGGGAGGGGGCCCAGGAGGGAGGGAGGGGCCCAGGAGGGAGGGGGTAGGGGGGAGGTGACCCAGGGGGGAGGGGGCCCAGGCCCGGGTTGTGGCTCCATCCCCAGTGTGGGGCGAGCAGGAGTCAGCCGATCGATGACTCTCAACATTGATCTCTCTCTCTCTCTCTCTCTCCCCCCCCCATCCCCTTCCTCTGTGCCATCAATAAAAATCTATTTAAACAGAACAGACTTCCTTCCGCGAGCTCGTGCTTCTGCCGGTGGAGGGCGGCGGAAGCGGCAGGAAGGCCCGGGAAGCAGGGCCGGAGCCAGGGGGAGCCTCGGGGCGGCTGCCTCCTCCCAGGGCTGGCCTGGCTGTGGGGGTCTGCGCCCGGCCGCGGGGCGGCTCCGTGGACAGTCCTCTCCAGACCGCGCCCCCCTCGCCCGGGACGCAGCCTCCGGCCGGGGCAGCGGAGGCCGATCGGGGCAACAGAGGCCGTTGGGGGGGCAGGCGCTGCTGGGGCTCCGGGTCTGTGCGTCTCCTTTGCTCCGAGTTTGTTTCTTGTTAATTAACTGACTTCCGGTTTGAGCAAAGCTGAGCAGGAAGTAGGATTCCCAGACACACAGCCCCCTCCCCGGCCTGTCCACACGCCCCCGGCCCAGCCCCCGCAGCGATGGACGCCAACACGCCAGCCCCCCGAGCGGCTCCCGCTCGCCACGGGCGTCCGCGCTGGGCAGTGTCCGCATCACGGATCGTCCGGCGGACGGCCTCGCTGCTGACCCCCGGGGCTGCCGGCCGCCCGGGCGCAGGGGCTGAGGCCGGCCCGGGAGCCGGGGTCAGCTGCTCCCGCTCAGGCACAGGCCGGGCAGCTCGGTCCGGGGCGGGCGCAGGAGGCGGCCGGCCCAGGGTTCTCTCTGGCCGTGATGCTGCTCCCTCCCTCCCCTCCGAGGACCTTTCTACAGAGAGAACCTGGCCGCCTTTCCCGTCACACCGCACGCGTGGGCGCTCCTGCGTCTGCTCTGTGCTGGCCCTCGGCGGGCAGACGGGTCCGCTGCTCTCATTTATTTATTCGTTAAATATACATTTTATTGATGTTTTACAGAGAGGAAGGGAGGGGGAGAGAGAGCTAGAAACATGGATGAGAAACATTGACCAGCTGCCTCCTGCACACCCCCCACTGGGGATGTCCCTGCAACCAAGGCACATGCCCTTGACCGAATCGAACCCGGGACCCTTCCGTCCTCAGGCCGACGCTCTATCCACTGAGCCACACCGGTTTTGGCGAGACCGCTGCTTTTAACCGTTCTCAGCACAGCAGCGCCCGGCGGCAGGAAGGCCCGCCACCACCGTGAGGAAGCCCAGGTCCGCGTCCCTGGGGGAGCCGGCACGGGCGCCGGGAGCCGGCCCAGCTGGGCCCAGACAGGGGGCAGGTGGGGTTGGCGGCCCGCGGGCTCCCACAGATCCAGGCCCGGCCAGGCCCTTCCCATGTGGCTTCCCACGTGCGGGCAGGAGTCTGAGAACCCGCCTCCGGCCGGCAGGGCTCCCGTGACACATGCACGGGCCTCCACACGCCACCCACACGTGTGCTGTTGCTGCTCATGGCTGTGCGTGGTCCGTCCTCCCGGGGGATTCCCGTTGGTTCTGAGAGGGGGGGTGGAGGGGGAGGGAGACGGAGAGAGGAACATCCATGTGCGGAGGGGAGGAGGGGAGGAAGAGGGGAGGAGGCAGGGGGAAGAGGAGAAGGAAGGGGAGGGGGAGGGGGACGAGAAGGGCAGGGGAAGAGGAGAAGGAAGGGGAGGGGGAGGGGGAAGAGGGGAGGCACACAGCTCCGGGAGGTCCTGAGAACGCCGTGTGGGTGAGTGTGGGGTGCTCCATCCCAGAGCAGCCCCCGCAGGGCCCCGCGGTCGGCGGTCGGCGGTCAGCGGTTAGCACAGCCATGTAAACGCGTCACTGCCAGCCGGGCGGAGCTGCCGTGCGGAGGCTGTGACATCACCGCACACGCAGGCAGCTCCTCCCACCTCCGCCCCCAGGATCCCTGGACACGGGCGCTCCTAGTGTTTACAGGGACCCGGCCAGCCGCCCGCGGGCCCTCCTTCCAGCCAGCTGTCTGCAGCCTCGGAGCACGGCGGGCGGAGAGGCAGGCCCGGCCGGCCGGCTGACCCTCACCCCCCCTTCCCCCCCGACCACCCGGGGAGCGGGCGGACAGCGTGGGCGCAGCCTGATGCCACAGGCCGCTGAGTCACCCCCCGCAGTGGGCGGGACGCCCCCACGCCGGGCTCACCGCTCCTCCGGCTCCCGTCAGCTGAGCGAGCCGCCCAGCTGCCTGGGGCCGCTGCCTAATCCCCACTCCCGCTCCCCGGGGGCCTGGCCTCCGAGCCTCCGGCTCCCGAGCCTCCCGGCTCCGGCTCTCAGCCCTGAGGGCGGGAAGGACTGAGCTCTCAGCCCCAGAACGGAGCCTCCGCCCAGCCCGAGCCCCTCTGGCTCGGCTCCGGAGAGCCGGGCCTCTGCTCTGGGGACTCGGGCCCGGGCACACCTCCACGCTCAAGTGGTTTCTGTTTTTGTTTTTAAATATATTTTATTGATTTCAGAGAGGAAGGGAGAGAGGAACATCAGTGATGAGAAAGACTCATGGACCGGCTGCCTCCTGCACGCCCCCTGCTGGTGATGGAGCCCACGACCTGGGCCTGGGCCTTGACGGGGAATCGAACCCTGATCTCCTGGCTCACAGGTGGATGCTCAGCCCGAACCACGCCAGTGGGTCACGCTCAGCTTTGCTACTGGCCCGCAGGGGGCCCCTCGGGGCACTTTGGGGGCGCCCAGCTCTGCACCCCGGCTGGTGTCCCCCTGCCCGCCCTGGGCCGTTCGGGGCCGCATCCCGTCTCCTAAGCGTCTGCCTTTCAAAGCGGCACCGGCTGGTCCGGCCGGTGGCTCGGCCGCTGGAGCCCGCCTGTGCCCTGAGCAGCCGCAGGTTCGGGTCCGGGCCGAGGGCACACACCTGGCACGTGCAGGAGGCAACCCGTGGCTGTCTCTCTCACATCGATGCTTCTCCCTCTCCTTCCACTGTCTGAAAAGCAACGGAAAAATATCCTCCGGTGAGGATTAACCAAAAAAAAAAGGATCCGGAGCGAGAGCCGGGCGGGCCCCCACCCCCACCACATCCCCCGCACGCCGAGCCCGAACCAGCGCCGAGCAGGCCCCGAGCCTCCGCTGACCAGCGGCCGGCGTCAGCCCGATGGAGCAGCCGTCCGCACGGGGACCCCGTGGGCCGGCGGCCAGGGCCGGGGCTCAGAACAGCGAGCCCCGGGGACGTGGGGACCCCGCAAAGACCGGCCGCCCGTGTGGACGGTGCGGCTCAGGAGGAGCCGGCCCGACAATCCCCGCCCGGCCCCCCGCCCGCCGGGGGGGGGGGAAGAAGGGACGCACGCGAGGCAGAGCAGGAAGAGGAGCTTTAATAGCTGCGTCGGCCACGCCGGTCCCGTTCCCGGGCGCTGCTCCCGGAGCCACGGCCACGGCCACGGCCACGGCCACGGCACCCGCCCGCGGTCCCGGCCGCTCCTCCTCCGGGGCCGGCGTGGAGCACGGACAGCACGGAGGACAGCACACACGCCCGGTGCCGCGCGGCCCCCGGCCGCCCTCCTGTCCACGCGGCCATGACAGTCTTCCGGGCGCCAGGATGCTGAGCGGGCAAACAGCGACGCTGGGGACCTCAAGGCGGGAGCGGTCCCAGGGGCAGGGCGAGGGCACGGCGGGAGGCGGGCCCTCGCGGGCGGTGCGGCCTGCGGACACCCAGGAGCGCGGCCGCCGTGCCCGGCCCGGCCAGCAGGGGGCGCCCCGGCCGGCCTCCGGCGGAGGGTCTGGGGAGCGGCCGTCCGGCTACGGGTCCAGCTCCTCGGGCACCACGGTGAGCATGACGTCCTCGTTGCCGCGGCGAACCACCATGTGCAGGGCGCCCTCCTTCCGGATGAGGTCGCTCACGTCGCCGGCCGAGGCCACAGGCTGCCCGTTGATGCTGATGATGACGTCCTGCTCCTTGAGGCCGCCGCTGCACGGACGGGACGGCGAGGGTTCGCGAGCCGCCCTCCCCACGGGGACAGCGAGGGGTCCCGCAGCTGCCCTCCGCCCTCCCCACGGGGACGGCATGAGGGTCCCGCAGCCGCCCTCCGCCCACCCCACGGGGACGGCATGAGGGTCCCGCAGCCGCCCTCCGCCCTCCCCACGGGACAGCGAGGGGTCCCGCAGCCGCCCTCCGCCCTCCCCACGGGGACGGCATGAGGGTCCCGCAGCCGCCCTCCCCACGGGACAGCGAGGGGTCCCGCAGCTGCCCTCCGCCCTCCCCACGGGGACGGCATGAGGGCCCCGCACCTGCCCTCCCCACGGGGACGGCATGAGGGTCCCGCACCTGCCCTCCCCACGGGGACGGCATGAGGGCCCCGCACCTGCCCTCCCCACTGCCAGACATGGCCCCACAACCCTCAGCTCCCCCCCACGCCCACAGCCATCCCCTCCAGCACGGCATTTTCATGCATCTTTTCACCTTTCCTCCTTAAAAAGGTTTTCCAGTGTTTAAAAGTGCAAAACCCACGTTAACCTGTGGGCAGGGCAGAAGCAGGCAGCCCCCCAGGCCTGGCACCTCCCTCTGGACCCGCTCAGTCAGCTGACCCCCGCCTGCTGCCCTCTGAGCTTCTCCTCGGAGGACCCTGCCCGGGGCCTCGGACCCGCGCCGGGGCGCCTGGGGGGCGGACACCGTCTCCATCCCAACCCCCTTCACCTCCCCGCCTCCGAGAGGCGGAGGCCAGGGCTCCTGACCGCGGACGGGTCTGAGCTGCTCCCGGTCGGACGCCCGCCCTCCCGCCCGGGACCCTCGCCGTCGCCGAGCGGACAGGCCCGGCACCGGGAAGCCGGGAAGGGACACTCACGCTTCGGCGGGCGTGTCGGGGAGGACCTCGATGATGTACGCCCCCGAGAGCGCATCCGGGAAGTCTCGGTGGTGGTCCCGCAGCTCCTTGGCCTTGCTGCTGGGGGGAGGGGGGGCTCCTCGTGAGCTCCGAGCGACACCCTCTCCTCCCCGTAGCCCCCACGACCCCACCCCGGCTTCTCTTCCGTCCCTGGTTCCAACGTAAAACCCCGGGGCTCTGGCTCTGCTTCAAGCTGTAAAGCTTTACTGGGCCTCCGCGCGAGGGCTCATCAGTCCAGCGACTGTATCTGCCGTATGTTTTGTTTTCTCATTATGGATGCCAGAGAGGAAGGAGGAGAGGGAGAGTAACATCACTGATGACAGAATCACCGAGGGCTGCCTCCTGCACACCCCGCCCTGGGGATGGAGCCCGCCATCCGGGCCTGCGCCCTGACCGGGAACCGAACCCTGACCTCCTGGCTCCTAGGTCGGCCCTCAAGCGCAGAGCCCCACTGCCGGGCCCACTGATTTCAGTGGAAGCGGCAGGAGCTCCGAGGGAGGAGTCAGCGCCGGGAGCGGCCGGCTGGCCGGGCCTCGCCTGCCGCTTGCTCGCTGTGTGATCTGGGCAGGTGCTAACCCTCTCTGGGCCTTCCTTCGCTCAAATGCAAACGGCGGCTCGCGAGCCGCCTGCGGCTCTTTGGCCCCTGGAGTGCGGCTCTTCCACAAAACGCCACGGCCTGGGCGAGTCTATGCTGAAGAAGTGGCGTTAGAAGGAGTTTACGTTTAAAAATGCGGCTCTCAGAAGAAATGTCAGTCGTGCTGCTGACGTTTGGCTCTGTGGACGGATGAGTTTGCCGACCACGGGCCTAGGACACGCTGGTCAGGAGGGAGAGGGATCCTCTGGCCGCGGCAGGAGGCGGGCCTGGCAGCCGGGCCGGTGCCCACAGAGGCCAGTGTCACCGCGGCCGGATCCGCCCGCCCGTCCCAGCCCGACGTGCACGGAGTCACCGGCGCTCACCACTCGCCCGGGGCCGCGGCCGCCTCACCGGACGGCAGGAGCCGGGCTCTGGGGCCAGCTCCTCCCACAGCCACACGCGGCGGGAGCAGAGAGCCCGGCCAGAACCTGAGGCCGCGCCCACGGGCGCCGAGAGGGCCCGGCTCCGAACACGGACCCAGCCTACCCCGCAGGCCCGGGCCCAGGGGAGCCGAGCCGGTCCTCTCGAGAACACACACGTGCTCACGTGTCAGCCGCACCCCGGCTCTGGGCACTCGGGCGGCTACGTCAGACCCGTCACCCGGGAGGCAGGCACCGGCGTGCCCTGGGCCGCGGCCACGTGCCGCCGGGAAAACAAGCCCCGGGCGTGGGCCCGCCCGCATTCCAGAGCCACGGCCCCGGGCAGCGGTGGAGGGCGCCGGGCACTCCCGGAATGTGGGTGGAGGCCCAGCCTGGGGCAGTGACCGGCACCAGCCAACCAGCCCTCCCGGCCCCTGCAAAACAAGGGCCTGCTCAGACACAGGAACAAACTGAAAGGTGAGAGGAGGGGTCATCCGGCCGGCGTGGCCCAGTGGTGAGCGTCCACCGAGCAGCCAGGAGGGCACAGGCCCGGGTGGCGGGCTCCATCCCCAGTGGGGCGTGCAGGAGGCAGCCGATCGGTGATTCTCTCATCGCGGATGCTTCTCCCTCTCGCTCTCCCTTCCTCTCTGAGGTTAATAAAATCCTATTTAAAAAACAGAAATAAAGCGAGGGCCCAGGATGACGGGCCTCCTCTCCTGAGACAAACGTCCCCCGTTAGCGGGGTCCTCGGCCGCGTGAGGCCCGCGGGGGCGCCAGCGGGCGCCAGCCCCTCCCACGCAGGACGCCCGCCCGGACCCACCTGGCTGTGAGCGACAGCATCCGGATGCCGATGTACTTCTTCTTGGTGACGGCTTTGCCTGGGCGGAGGGCGGGTCAGGGGCCGTCGGGAGCCGGGCCGTGGGCTCCACCTGCCCCCCCCTCCCCCGTCCGCAGGGCTCAGCCTGGGGACATTCCGGCCTCGGGGTGCCCGTGCGCCCCCCTCCCTCCCCGGCCGGCTCCGCCGCGCTTTCCCAGAAGCCCTGTCGCCACCCGAACCACCTGGCTGGTCGGCTTCCTGCCCCCCCCCCGAAGGTAAACACCCCCGATGGACCCGAGCGGAGGGCCCCCATCTGTGGCGGGAGTGGCCCAACCTCAGCAGGGAGAGGCCTCAGGACACGTGAGGAGGAGCTGAGGGGCGAGGGGTCCCCGGGGTCCGGCCGGCACCCCGCACCCCGCACCCCGCACCCCGCACCCCGCACCCTGCACCCCACACCCCGCACCCCGCACCCCGCACCCAGCACCCCGCACCCCGCACCCCGCACCCCGCACCCAGCACCCCGCACCCAGCACCGCACACCCCGCACCCCGCACCCCGCACCCAGCACCCCACACCCCACACCCAGCACCCCGCACCCCGCACCCCGCACCCCGCACCCCGCACCCAGCACCCCACACCCCACACCCAGCACCCAGCACCCCGCACCCCGCACCCCACACCCCGCACCCTGCACCCCGCACCCCACACCCAGCACCCAGCACCCCGCACCCCGCACCCCGCACCCCGCACCCCGCACCCCACACCCCGCATCCAGCACCCCACACCCCACACCCCGCACCCAGCACCCCACACCCCACACCCAGCACCCAGCACCGCACACCCCGCACCCCGCACCCCGCACGGACGCCACGGGCCTCGGGCCAGGACCCCAAGTCTCTGCGATCGAATCCCGGGCTCAGGACACGCCCCTCCCCCTTCCCGTCCCGGGTCACAGCGCCAGGTCCTCAGAGTCAGGCCCTGCGGCCTGGGTCCCGGGTCCCGGGGAGGCCCTCAGGCCTGCACCCCCACCATCGCCCCCCTGCCCCCCCAGTCCATCCCCCCCCGGGCCACCCGCCCCCCCCCCCCGGCCCGTCCCCCCCCTCCCCCCGGGCCGTCAGCCACCCGCCCCCCCCCCCGGCCCGTCCCCCCCCTCCCCCCGGGCCGTCAGCCACCCTCCCCCTCGGCCGTCCACCCCCCTCCCCCCAGGCCGTCCGCCCCCCTCACCATGGCCATCTGCCCCCCCCCGGGCCGTCCGCCCCCCCCGGGCCGTCCGCCCCCCCATCTGACCCCTCCCCTCCGCCGACCGCCCCCCTCCCCCCCCGCCAACCGCCCCCCCTCCCCCCGGGCCGTCCGCCCCCCTCACCCCGGCCGTCCGCGCCCTCCCCCCGGCCGTCCACCCCCCTCCCCCCCCGCCAACCGCCCCCCTCCCCCCGGGCCATCCGCCCCCTCACCCCGGCCGTCCGCGCCCTCCCCCCGGCCGTCCACCCCCCTCCCCCCCCGCCAACCGCCCCCCCTCCCCCCGGGCCGTCCGCCCCCTCACCCCGGCCGTCCGCGCCCTCCCCCCGGCCGTCCGCGCCCTCCCCCCGGCCGTCCGCGCCCTCACCCCGGGCCTGCCGGTCGTGGGACTCGGTGAGGAACTTCTTGATCTTATCGGACGGGATGGCGAAGGCGATGCCCGCCGTCACCTTCAGCGTGTTGATGCCGATCACCTCGCCGTCCTGGGGCGGACAGAGCGGCTCAGGCCCACAGGCCCCCGAGGGTGCTCACGGGGCGGGGGGGGGGCAGGAGGGGCCCCGAGTGAGGGGTGACAGTGACCCCGGAGTGAGGGCGGTGACCCCGGAGTGAGGGGGGGGCCCCGGAGTGAGGGGGGTGACCCCGGAGTGAGGGGGGGTGACCCCGGAGTGAGGGCGGTGACCCCGGAGTGAGGGGGGGGCCCCGGAGTGAGGGGGGTGACCCCGGAGTGAGGGGGGGTGACCCCGGAGTGAGGGGGGTGACCCAGAGTGAGGGGGGATGACCCTGGAGTGAGGGGGGGTGACCCCGGAGTGAGGGGGGTGACCCCGGAGTGAGGGGGGGGCCCTGGAGTGAGGGGGGGTGACCCTGGAGTGAGGGGGGCCCCGGAGTGAGGGGGGTGACCCCGGAGTGAGGGGGGGGCCCCGGAGTGAGGGGGGTGACCCCGGAGTGAGGGGGTGTGACCCCGGAGTGAGGGGGGTGACCCAGAGTGAGGGGGGCGGTGACCCCGGAGTGAGGGGGGGTGGCCCAGGGCGGGGCTGTGGGGGGAGAAGACGGGAACCCACAGCCGGGGGCGCGGAGGCCTTACCAGGTTGACCAGGGGGCCGCCCGAGTTTCCGTACTGAAAGCAAACACAGGCGGTCAGGGGCGCCCGCGAGGCCCCTCTCTCTCCCTCCCCCTCCCCTGCCCCGCCCCTCCCCCTCTCCTCCCTTCCCCCTCCCCTCCCCCTCCCCTCCTCTTCCCCCTCCCCCTCCCTCTCCTCTCCCCCTCCCCTCCCCTCCTCCTCTCCCTCCCCTCCCCGCCTCTCCCCCGCCCCTCCCCTGCCCCACCCCTCCCCCTCTCCTCCCTTCCCCCTCCCCTCCCCTCCTCCTCTCCCTCCCCTCCCCCTCCCCCTCCCCTCCTCTCTCCCTCTCCTCCCCTCCCCTCTCCTCCCCTCCCCTCCCCTCCCCTCCCTCCTTCCCCTCCCCTCCCCTCCTTCCCCTCCCCTCCCCTCCCCCTCCCCTTCCCCTCCCCTCCCCTCCCCCTCCCCTCCCCCTCCCCTCACCCTCCCCCCCTCCCCCTCCCCTCCCCTCCCCTCCCCTCCCCTCCCCCCCCCCCCCCCCCCCCGGTCCGCAGGACCCGCCGGCGGGCTCACGTTGATGATGGCGTCCGTCTGGATGTAGTCCATGTCGGAGTTGCGCAGCCCCAGCTCCTTGCCGCCGCGCTGCGTGGTGCTGACGATGCCGGTGGTGACCGTGTTCTGCAGCGAGAAGGGGCTCCCGATGGCCACCACGAACTCGCCCGGACGCAGCTCCCCGGACCGGCCCAGCAGCAGCACCGGCAGCTTCCCCTGCAACACGCGGCCACGTCTGCCTCCGCCGGCCCCCTCCGCGCGGCCCGCCCCCCTCCCTGCCCGCCCCCCCTCCCTGCCCCCCCTCCCTGCCTGCCCCTCCTCCCTGCCCCCCCTCCTCCCTGCCCCCGGTGCTCCCTGCCCCCCCTCCTCCCTGCCCCCCCCTCCTCCCTGCCCCCCCTCCTCCCTGCCCGCCCCTCCTCCCTGCCCCCGGTGCTCCCTGCCCCCCGGTGCTCCCTGCCCCCGGTGCTCCCTGCCCCCCGGTGCTCCCTGCCCCCGGTGCTCCCTGCCCCCGGTGCTCCCTGCCCCGGTGCTCCCTGCCCCCGGTGCTCCCTGCCCCGGTGCTCCCTGCCCCCGGTGCTCCCTGCCCCCGGTGCTCCCTGCCCCGGTGCTCCCTGCCCCTGGTGCTCCCTGCCCCGGTGCTCCCTGCCCCCGGTGCTCCCTGCCCCCCGGTGCTCCCTGCCCCCGGTGCTCCCTGCCCCCGGTGCTCCCTGCCCCCCGGTGCTCCCTGCCCCCGGTGCTCCCTGCCCCGGTGCTCCCTGCCCCGGTGCTCCCTGCCCCCGGTGCTCCCTGCCCCCCGGTGCTCCCTGCCCCCGGTGCTCCCTGCCCCCCCTCCTCCCTGCCCCCGGTGCTCCCTGCCCCCCGGTGCTCCCTGCCCCCGGTGCTCCCTGCCCCCAGGTGCTCCCTGCCCCGGTGCTCCCTGCCCCCGGTGCTCCCTGCCCCCGGTGCTCCCTGCCCCGGTGCTCCCTGCCCTGGTGCTCCCTGCCCCCGGTGCTCCCTGCCCCCCCTCCTCCCTGCCCCCCTCCTCCCTGCCCCCCCTCCTCCCTGCCCCCCCTCCTCCCTGCCCGCCCCTCCTCCCTGCCCCCGGTGCTCCCTGCCCCCGGTGCTCCCTGCCCCGGTGCTCCCTGCCCCGGTGCTCCCTGCCCCCGGTGCTCCCTGCCCCGGTGCTCCCTGCCCCGGTGCTCCCTGCCCCCGGTGCTCCCTGCCCCCCCTCCTCCCTGCCCCCCTCCTCCCTGCCCCCCCTCCTCCCTGCCCCCCCTCCTCCCTGCCCGCCCCTCCTCCCTGCCCCCGGTGCTCCCTGCCCCGGTGCTCCCTGCCCCCGGTGCTCCCTGCCCCGGTGCTCCCTGCCCCGGTGCTCCCTGCCCCCGGTGCTCCCTGCCCCGGTGCTCCCTGCCCCCGGTGCTCCCTGCCCCGGTGCTCCCTGCCCTGGTGCTCCCTGCCCCCGGTGCTCCCTGCCCCCCCTCCTCCCTGCCCCCCTCCTCCCTGCCCCCCCTCCTCCCTGCCCCCCCTCCTCCCTGCCCGCCCCTCCTCCCTGCCCCCGGTGCTCCCTGCCCCCGGTGCTCCCTGCCCCGGTGCTCCCTGCCCCCGGTGCTCCCTGCCCCCGGTGCTCCCTGCCCCGGTGCTCCCTGCCCTGGTGCTCCCTGCCCCCGGTGCTCCCTGCCCCCCCTCCTCCCTGCCCCCCTCCTCCCTGCCCCCCCTCCTCCCTGCCCCCCCTCCTCCCTGCCCGCCCCTCCTCCCTGCCCCCGGTGCTCCCTGCCCCGGTGCTCCCTGCCCCCGGTGCTCCCTGCCCCCGGTGCTCCCTGCCCCGGTGCTCCCTGCCCCGGTGCTCCCTGCCCCCGGTGCTCCCTGCCCCCGGGCCTCCACCCCGGAGCCCTCGGCGGCCTCCCTGAACCTGCGACCAGGAGGGAGGGAGGGCCACTGCTCAGGGCTCCGGAGCCACACACCCGGGCAGGGCCGGCTGAGCTGCACAGCACACCCTCGGCACCGGCCGGTTTGGCGCCTCTGGGCGAAGTGCATGCCGCCTGGGGAGCGGCGGGCGGGCGGGCGGGCGGGGGAGGGCGGCCAGGACCCCAGACCCTCTGCTCCCGCCGGGCAGGCTGAGCAGGCGACCCGGGTGCCGTGAAGGCCGAGCCCCCACCAGCTCCGCGCAGAGTGGCGGCAGCTCGGGGCACAGCCGGAGAGCCGGCTCCCAGGAGGGCCCTGGGCCCCACCCGCCCTCCCCGGGGCCACGGAGCCCCTTTAGCCTCTGTCCTCCGAGAGCCAACGGTCAGGCCCCAAACCGCGGGCCAGGCCAGAGGCGCGGCCAGCGGGCCGCGAGGAGTCACATTCGGTCCTGGCGGCTGTCCGCCCCCAGAGAGAGAGAAGCGAGGGGGGCGGAGGGCGGCCCGGGGCCCAGCCGTGTTCACCGGGTCCTCTGCCCGGGACGGAGCAGACACCGGCGGATGGGCCCATTGAACAGATGGAGAAACTGAGGCTCTGGGCAACTGGATCACGTGAGACAGAGGAGGACGGGACCCTGGGCTGCGGCTGGCTCAGACCCTCACCCTCCACACACAGCACCTCGCCACCACGACCTGCCACCCGGCAAGGAAGGCCAGCGGGTCAGGGAGGAGGAGAGGAAGCGTGGGGGACCTAACACCGAGCCTTGGCCGGTGTGGCTGCGTGGACAGAGCGTCCACCTGGGGACTGAAGGGCCCGGTTTCGGTTCCGGTCAAGGGCATGCACCTCGATTGCAGCTCGGTGCCTGGCCCTGTGAGATCCTGGCCTGAGCTCACAACCACTGCGGCCTCAGTCTTCTCATCTGGCAAATGGGCCCGTGCCGGTGCCCACCTCCCCGGTCCCTCTGAGGATCCAGGGCCTCAGCTGAGCAGCTCTTTGGAGACGGCCCGGCCCGTTTCAGGCCTTGCTCCGGCCAGGGAAGCCGCACGCGGCCGTGGGGCCCTGCTGTCCGTCCGGGGCCTGTGCAGACCCCACGGGGGACCTCGCCAGCTGAACGCCCCGGCCAGCTGCCCGCCCCCCCGTGGGGTCGCCTGAGGCCAGAGCGCAGGGGCTGCGGGAGGGGCCGGCTCCTCCGCCAGGCACAGCCGCCAGCTCCGGGCCTGTTTGCGCTGGGCCCCGGCCAGCCGCCCCTGCCAGCAGTGACCTCATCCCCGTCGCAGCGCGGCTGGCGGAGGGGCTCGGTGCTGCAGGCCCTCAGGGACACTCCCGCTCCTCCAGCCGGGACAGCCTCGGGGCGGGCGTGAGGGGGTGTGGGGGTGTGGGGGGTGACGGGGGAGGCTGGGTCTGCCGGCCACCCACGGTAACAGCTGCTTCTCGCAGCTCAGTGCACGCGCTCAGTGCACGCCTTCCAGCTCTGCAGAGAGGAGGCTGGCCACAGCCGCTCGGCCACAGGCCCCGGGGGTCTCATCGGAGAGTGACAGCCCCCCCTCCTGACCCCCTTCGGGCTCCGGGTCTCGGGGTGCAGGCGGCAGGGGGGCCTGAACACACGCTCGGTCAGTCTGAGCTCCGGCCCACACGGGGAGGAGGCAGGCCCTGGGGGGAGGGCTCAGCGGGGGACCCAGGGCCTGCGTGCTGCTCAGGGGCCCCCCCGGTCCCCGAGGGCAGCGTGGCCCCACGGCAGTGATGCCATCCGCACGGGGACCACGCAGCGTGGACGACGGGCATCAGCCACGCAGCCCCGGACTCCCAAGGTCCGCCCCCTGAGCAGAGGGGGAAACACGGGGCACACGGGCATATCCGGGCCGTGGGCAGCGCTGAGGGGTCGGGCACAGCCGGGCCCGTGGGCAGCGCTGAGGGGTCGGGCACAGCCAGCCCGTGGGCAGCACTGAGGGGTCGGGCACAGCCAGCCCGTGGGCAGCACTGAGGGGTCGGGCACAGCCGGGCCCGTGGGCAGCGCTGAGGGGTCGGGCACAGCCGGGCCTGTGGGCAGTGCTGAGGGGTCGGGCACAGCCAGCCCTTGGGCAGCGCTGAGGGGTCGGGCACAGCCAGCCCGTGGGCAGCGCTGAGGGGTCGGGCACAGCCAGCCCGTGGGCAGTGCTGAGGGGTCGGGCACAGCCAGCCCGTGGGCAGCACTGAGGGGTCGGGCACAGCCAGGCCCATGGGCAGTGCTGAGGGGTCGGGCACAGCCGGGCCCGTGGGCAGTGCTGAGGGGTCGGGCACAGCCGGGCCCGTGGGCAGTGCTGGGGGCACGCAGGCACAGCCGTGGTTCCCACCGGAGCGAGCTTTGCTCACGCACACACTGCACAGGCGGTGAGGGACCCACGTTAGGAAAAGCAGACAGACACACCACGGGGGCGAGTCTGACGTGAAGCCTGAGTTCAGATGACAAGGCCCCCATGGCCCCTGGGCGGGAGAGCTGTCCCCCCATTGCACAGACGTGGAAACTGAGGCTCACGAGAGCGGCAGCGCGGCGAGCGAGAAAGCAGCTGCCCAGCTGAGCCGGCTCCCCTGCTCTGACCGCGGGCGGACGCTCTGCACGGGAGACGGGCCGGGGGGGCCGCTGGCCCCGCGCACAGCTCGCCGGTGCCAGACCCGGTGCCGCCGTGCTGCCCTCCGCCCCTGGCCCGTCTGCGGCGTGGCCACACGATGCTGGCCAGACGCCCGCACAGTGAGCGTCTGGCCCCACCGCCTCCAGACAGACTCCCGGGGGCTCGGCCTGCAGACGGGAAACCCCGCTCGCACCCCTCACCCTCGCTGTCCCCGGGTTCCCGCGCCCCCACATCAAAGCGCCCCACATCCCGCTGCAGACACCATCTGATCTCTGAGACGGCAGCCACAGGCCAGCCCTTCCCTAGCAGCCATCCTACACCTCCCGTCTCCCGTCTCCCGTCTCCTGTCTCTCCATCTCCCCGTCTCCCTGTCTCGCCATCTCGCCATCTCGCCATCTCCCCGCCTCCCCGCCTCCCCGTCTCCCCAGAGCCTCTCTGAGGCAGACAGGGGCAGGAGGGAGCCCATTAACGACTCCTCTCTGAAATCATCTCTCATCACCGATGTTTCTCTCTCCCTCTCCCTTCCTCTCTGAAACCAATGAAAATATATTTTTAAAAAGATAGAGCCGAGGACGCCGAGGGCCCAGCACATCCCTCCCCGCGCTCACTGGCCAGCACGGCGAGGGGCGGCTCCCCAGGACCGGGTGACGGAGGGAACCGAACCGGCTGGGGCTCTGCCCACGGACAGGCACCGCGGGGAGACACCTAACTGCGCTTCAGGCCGGTTTGGGG